AAACTTTTTTGTCCCCCCCCACCATTACACAAATGTTTTAAGTTAATTACCTTTAGAATTCAGTTGGCCAGACAAAAAAGAACACACAAGTTCGTTCGTTCGTGCATTTGTAAGAACGCAACTACGACAACAACAACAACAACAACAAAAACGACAACAGCAAGAAGAACAACAATAACAAAAACGTTCATAGAAACAAAGAAAGCGCACAACTTCTTTGTTCTGTTCTTTGCTTAAATAGAATTATTTATATTATATTAGGAGACATCATGACCAATTCTATTTATTTGTTTACCTAGTATGGGCAAATAATCTGTGTAAATTGATATTAAAGGCAATTAAATAAAATATTGTTTATTTTCATCTAAATAAAAATGTTTAAAATTTCATTTACCAGTTAATTTTATTGTTTTTTTTTTTGCTTCAAATTCATTTTTTTTTTGTTTTTGGTTTGGTTTTACTTTCAAACCAAACTCCGCGACAAAATAAAACAATTTATGCCCGCAGCATATTTATGTACGTATGTATTGTTGTTGATGTATGTCGTAATTTTTTTTATCGCTACAATGTTGTTGCCCTAAATAAATTGTACATTTGTAGCAATGGTGCAATATATTTACGCGTCACTCAACAATATTAAAATTTCAACAGATGTGTGGGTCGGACAGTGCGATTACAACGGACGAAAAATGTAGACAAATAGTCTAGGGTTTTCAAAAATGAAAATAAAAACTATCTTTCAAATTTGTTAAGTTTTATTAAAAAATTAGAATTTAGAGTATAAAAGTTACTCAAAATTTGTTGCATATATAAATGACATTGTCGGGAAAGTGCTGTTCTAAATTTTTTAAATAATATTAATCAGATATACATAATATATACATTTAATATGGTTTTACCATCTTTTCGGAAAGCTTTAATTTCCTAATTAATAAAATAATCCACTTTAACCCATTAAGTATTAAAAAATATTCAAAGCTAGCCGTGTGGTGCTCCAAAATGTGTTAATACTAGATTCGCACGAGAATTTTGTTTGTAATATTAACTGTCAAAAATTTTAAACTGACATCTGTAATCAAAAAGCAAAAACATCGATTCACACAACAAATCATTGTAATTTGATTATCTGATTTATCATATATCCACACTTTTCAACTACTTTTGAAAAATATTTACTTTGCATATATGATATATAAGAGTTTTATTTCATTTTACATTGAAATCTTATTCATTCCTGAAAACTATTCACAATAGTGCAAGTTTTTTACTTTACTACTATGTTCAGACAGCCAAATTTCCTTAATTTCATAAAAATGGAATTAAGTTAGTTTCGAAAGTGTTCATACTGGCCCAAATTAAGGAAATCATATATTTTTTGTTTATAAATCGAATGTTAAAAATTACATGCTCCAAACACCATTTGTATCTGGAAAATTTAAAATAGATTATTATAATTATGAAGGATTGCCATCCGTAGTTTTATTAGCTTTAGTGGATTTCAGGTATGTGAATTATTATTTTTCAGTCTATTTTAAATTAATAACAGTTACAGTTTTTTCTGTTTATTCTAATTAAAAAATTTGCAATACTTATAACAATTTTTCCCGATTTCATTAAAGTCAACTATTACTGACATTTATTTAAAAAAAAACGAAAATTTTTCGTTATCTAACCTTTATCTTTTGCTTAAAATTTATCTTATACATAGTTGCATTTAAAATGTCCCTTTATTTTAACCTTCGTTTCAAGGAAATTAAGTCCATTTTCCTTAATTTCGCTCTAACCTTAAAACTGTATTTTGTATGGAAAAAACAACTTAATTTCGCTGAAACAAAGATAAAATAAAGATTTTTGCGAAAGTAAGGTGTGTCTAAACTTAGAACACAGAACTGTAAACTGTCCAAGTTAAAATTAACTTGGTTTTGCAGAAATTTCGATTCAATTGTGTTTTAAGCTACCAAAATTCCCATACAAATCTTCCTGATTTCAAATTGTTTTGTTGTCGAAATTTAGAATAATTGCAAATGGCAACTAAAATTACACACAAAACTCTCGTGTAAATCTAGTATAATATACTACGATTAAGAAAACGAGGTTAAGTTAATATGCATTTTTAATCTACATCGTTTACATTATACATTGGAGATTAATTTTGCCATTTGACGTCACAAAATTTGTATTTAATCTGCTATAGTTCCGTCTCCTTGTATTGAATTTCTGTCAATAAAACATTTAATTACAACAAAGACGTAGCGAACGTAAAAAACGTAAGCGGGAGAACGTGAAAAATAACAAGGGAAAGCAGGTTACCTAAACTGGGAGACGCTGAAATATTGATTAATTAAGGGAGTTATGCACAACCCATAAAAAACTATAAGAACACAAAAGACGTAGCAAACGCTCAAAACGTAAACGGGAGAACCAGAATACTGACTAGTTAAGTAGTTATGAGAGATCACAAAACATAAAGAGCATAAAAACACAAACAACAAAACTTTAATCCGATCACTTAACAACTCGCACATCAGTCTTTATCGGCGAAAGACTAAAAAAATTATTGATAAACGTATGTCCCACCCTAGTTTGCGTGATATATAAAACTGTCGATATCTTGCATCGACACCTATTACAACATCAACAATGATTAGTATTAACAAATAATAACCGCACTCTATATTAAAGCTGTGTTTTCTTCGAACCACAATTACTTTGTAACAAAGTTTTCGTCACTCCCTTTTTCAACAATCCGTCTTCACTCCTTTTCCCTTAATGTCACACACCGTGTCTTAACCTATGTATGTATGCGCTTTATTTCATATTTCCTACTCTATATGTGCTCGTATGTTACAATAACAACAATATAGTGAAAAGTGGAGTTTTCTATGTGACTTAGAATCTGAGCGACAGAGTTCCGAACGAAACGCTGCAGAAGAAGCAAAATTCAAAAAATCTTGTTAAGTTAAAAGTAAATATTGATTAGTTTTTATTTTCTTTTTACTTTCTCAAGAGTACTTTTTTCATAGAGTTCGTTCCATCAGGTCTAACAGTTAATGGGTTTTTCTTTTTCTCTCTTGTTGTTTTGAAGCCTTTGATCTCTCGTATTCGATTAGAATATGTTAGTATTTGTAGTATAATAAGGAGTCATCTTATCGATCGGACATATGGTTGAAAATTTTAATAATAAGTAGTCATCTTATTGATCGGACTTATGGTTGAAAATTCACATTTTAACTCTTGACGTCACACTGTATTCACTTGATTTGGAAAAAATGACTTACCAATAATAGAAAAGCATTTCGTGAGAGTAAAAACCATCTAAAATGCTTGTATTCACACCCTAACGGTTGTTGTTGTTGTAGCCCGCAAGAATCTATAAAGCAAATAACATAAAAGGAATAACAAGATGTATTTATGGGTTGAGATGGGGATAGGTATTGGTAGCGTGCGTGGGGAGGAGATTCTTTAGAATTGAGAATAGATTGGGTGGGATTTTCTGCTTGTGTGTGTAGTTTCTTTTAGGTGTACTCACTTGCTCGTCTAACTGAACGAGTGATTCGGTTGTTCTTGAAACCTGAAGATGATCTTGGTATACGATCTAAAACACTTATTGAGTATGTTTTTAGATTCTATAAATTATTTTATTCAGTCGGGAGGGAACTATTTTAACAAAATCTTCAGACAAAAACCAAGATATTGAAGATAACAGAAAAATAAGTTTAAAATCGGTTTTGTTTTTTTAAGAATTGTAGCTTTTATTGCGAGCGTTATTTTTAGTATATTTCTATATGTATTTCGGCAAACTTGCTTCTTTGCCTTCATCCGGAAAATTCCTAATAAAAATTGGTGTTCAACAAATAATTTGAGTTGCTTTTTCCTAGTTTCTATTTATAATAGTAATTGAAAGTCCTGAGTTTTTCTACATATACGGTAACACAGTACGCCAATAGGCCTAAGTGGATCCACCAGGGATCGCCGGTATAACCTAACCTGACCTAATAGGAAGTAATTGTCTAGTTATATTCCTTTATACATGGCTTATTCGTTAGTTTTTTTCGTAACAAGTTTTTTAAAACTTTAAATTATATACATATATATGTATATATTTGTATGTCTGTATGTATTTCATAACCTTTACTAAGGGTTAAAGTATAAATTCTTATACTTATGATATATTGCTTATGGGTCTTTATGTCAACCTATTTTTTTTGCTTATATTGTTACTTTAAAGTGATGACGTCAAAACGCCTCTTAATTAAAATAACACAAATATGTTCTCAAATATGTAAGCGCTTGTATGAGTATTAATGTTTTTTGTGAACTATTATTTTTTTATTTTTTTAATATTTTTTCTTCTTTTTTTTTTTGAAATATTTTAGTCTGAATACCACTTTTATTCATTCTTTTGATTTGCGTATTTTTTGGTTCAACTCAACGCTGTAAAGTATGCTTGTTTTAAATACGTATTTTAATGCTCCATAACTCTTACCCAAATACCTACACCATCTATCCTTGTAAGCTGATGGTGTTAGTCCCCTACCCCGAAAAACGAACCGAAGATGCATGCATATTTAACTTTTCACGTAGGTGCAAGCAAGTTCGCTGCCTAGTGCTGCTGCAGTCTTCACTAGCGTTGCTGTTGACCCAATTTATTTATTTAGGTTTTGAATACGTTGCATTAAGGTTGCCAACGTAGCATTTTTTTCTCACTACACATACACACACACGCATACACTGCAAGCATGCATTTGCATGTCATGGCACATTGTATGTGCTTTGAATTATTATGTGCAAGGTTTGAGGTGTACACTATTGAATTCCTTATATATAAAATAAAATATTTATATTGTTGTCTAAAAATAATATTTATAAATCGTAGGCATTAAGTTTTTTATATAAATATTTATTATATATAGTATATAATAATACATACTTTAAATATTTATTTTTACAAATTCTTTTAAATAAATAAATTATTTATAGTTTTTATTTATATTTTGCAGTTTGTGGTCGAGTTGTGATTTTGCTGCATCTCAGCCGTGAATATAACAACAATTTACATCCCGTCCAAAGGATAGCAGGTAAAAGTACATCAATTTGCAGAGAAAATGTCTTCACCAAGTGCTGGCAAACGTCGTATGGATAACGATGTCATCAAACTGATTGAATCGAAGCATGAGGTTACCATACTCGGTGGTCTTAATGAATTTCATGTAAAATTTTTTGGGCCTAATGGTACGCCGTATGAAGGTGGTGTTTGGAAGGTGCGTGTCTACTTGCCCGATAATTATCCATTCAAATCGCCTAGTATAGGTTTTGTTAATAAAATATATCATCCAAATATTGATGAGCAATCGGGCACAGTTTGTCTTGATGTGATCAATCAAGCGTGGACTGCACTATATGACTTGTCGAATATTTTCGAATCCTTTTTACCACAATTGTTGACATATCCAAATCCAGTGGATCCATTAAATCGTGATGCGGCAGCGTTGTTTTTGCATGAACCGGAAGAATATCATCGTAAAGTAGCAGACTATGTGCAACGGTATGCAACTGAGGAAGCGTTACGTGCCGCACAGCAAGACCGAGATAGCAGTGATAGTGAGTCGAGCATGTCTGATTATAGTGAAGATGAAGCAAGAGACATGGAATTATAATATCCGGTTATTATTAAGCTTATGATGTCAATCTGAATTTTTTAACTCATTTATCGCAAAACGAGACACCAACTATACACTCAAAAAACTCTTTTTCATATTAACAGTAGCAACATTTACTTCAAAACCCAAAACAAACATACATATTTTATATACTAAATTAGTGCAATTTATTTTTTATTTGTATAAAATTATTTTATCTGAAGTTTATCTGAATTTGTCAAAATGGAGCATATTTTTAATTTGTAAAAAATTTTTTGTTTTTCTGCTATTGCTAAATAATAATAAATTAAGTATTTTAAATTGAGAATTAAGTTGTTAAATGTTTTTACTTTTATTTATCATATATTTATATCAATTTGTATTCTTGTATTCTTGACAACAGTTGATTTAGTTAGAAAATTGTTTTTTGTTTTTCTTTGTTATGTTAATAAATTTATTAAATTTAGTAAAAAAAATATTCATTTATTTTTAAAAGGAAAATTTTGAAAAATATGTAAAAAACTTTTATATAAATTGTTCATATATACGAAAGTACCACAAACCATCCAAATACAAAAAGTTCATTAAATAGAAATATATGCATAAAAGTCGTACATACATATATAGTCAGAAAACATATATACAGTTTTTAAGTAAACTTCAATTAATCTTAATGAAAGTATACACACAAATGGCATTAATAACCAGAAAACAGAATTGTTTCTTAGAATTATGAAAGACAAAACCAAAATATAATAAAACTATAATGTTATATATATATTAGATTACACTTGAACGTATTTGTAAATTTAAGCGCATTTTTAAATTAATTTAAAAATTTTCAAAGAATCAAATACGCTTTAATAATATTTGCAGAATATACTAGTGTAACAGATGTATATACCAAGAAAAAAAAACCAATAAAATAATAAATATGAGCTAATGTTATGTAAAAACAAATTAAAATGTAATAGTTAAAATAATTTTTTTTTAAATATTCAACAGTTTAATATATCCAAATGAATAGATAAGAAATATAATACAACATAAATATGCATTCAGTAATACAGTTTTCAATGTTTAGTAGTGCAATAATATAAACGCAAGTTATTCAAATAAACGATTTTTGTATAATTAATAAATTTAAAAATATTTTAATTTTGTTAAACATCCAAAAAATTATTTACTAATGAATAATTTATATCTGAAAGATTCCTAAAACTATTTACTTTATTCTTAATATTTTCTTATTTTTTGGCATATGTTTTATTTATAATATTAACTATGACTAGAGTGAAATAATGCTCCCTCCCTACAGTTCTCTTCAAAATAGTTTAGAAGAAAGAAATTGAAATTTTTTCTCGTTTTTATTTACAAAATATTTTGCAACAGGATTGATTCTAAAAGTTGCAATGTCTCATCTTAACATTTAAATTTAAGGCATATTTAAATTTAATATTAGATTTTTATTATATATACAAAATAAAAACAATTACGATTAATTAATTATGTAATAAATACAAAATAATTACTTTTATAATTATGATTAATGTATGTATATATATACAAATATATACATATATATCACTGGTGATGATGAACATTACGTTTACTGATAATAAATAATATTGAATTATTTCATATAAGCTATTAAGTACATAAGTTAAAAAAATGAACAGACATAAAAATAATTCGTTTTAATTGACTATTTTAAGAATAACATATATATATATATAAATATATTAATATATATTAGACATTAAAAAAATTACAAAAAATTTATTAAGAAAAAAATATTAAGAAATTGTATTTTAGATGTTAACTAACATTTTTAGCAAGTCAAAATGTAAAAATTCGAACAAAATACAAAAACAAAAAAATTAAGAGAAAAATTAAAATTTATTTGTGCATACAAAAACAAAAAAAAAAATACAATAAAATATTTAAAAATAAAATTTATAGTTTTCCATTATTTTCTTTATGGAGTCTGAACAATATTTAATAGATTTGAAAAACTTTGAATTATAGTCTAAAGTTTTTTCGGATAGAGTAATTAAATGTATTCACTGTCGGCTTCCTGATGATTACAATATTTTTCATATCCCTAATAACGGAGATGACCACTATTAGGATAGCTATAGTTTGTCTGGAAGTGTATAAAATATTTAATAGGAATATATACATACTATCAGATAGTCAACCTGCTCTAAAACACTTGAGTTTAGTCGAACTTACAGCCAGGACTTACCTACACATGTCCAAACGAGTTATCGACGCAGTTTAATATTTCTCTACTTTGGGTTCCTGGTCATAGAGATATTTTTGAGCTGGCTAGACGGGGTACTTCAGGTAATTACTTGGAACACTAAAAAATCCAGACACATCGTGACATCAGCAAACATTTCTTGAATTTTTTTGTTGCTGAACAATTTAATAAAGAATAGAAAAACGCAACTGTATGGAGGCATCTACCATATATGCACTAAAAAATGCGCTAAAAAATATCACTCTTGTGGTAGGTTTGCTGCTGGATCACAGCTGATTAAGGAATCATGTTAAATCCGTCTTTTAATCATTACTGTCGCAGTTGTGGAGATAACGATATAAGTGCCTTATATCTGCTTTGTTATTGCCATGCGCGGCACTGTTTTTTGGCCGGGATATACCACTAAAAAATTTTAAGCTTCGCCAAATGTTCAAAGTGGTTTTTAAACCTTTGAGTTTCTTATACGGTAACACAACGGGCCAATAGACCTAAGTTCATTCTTATGAACGTATAGCCTAACCTAACATAAGTCTAAAGCAGAGCTTTGAACTTCAAACAGTTCAATGATCAGATGTTGAAGTTTACTTGTATTCGAGCATTTAGATCAAGTACGGAGAGACTCTTCACTCTTCGAGCAGGGCGAGAGGCTTGAGTGTTAGAACATTTGTTGGCCCAGTTATTTGCAAACCGAATATTGAAGTGTTCGATAAATTCGATAAATGTTCGATAACTTTGAGTCTAAACTTAAAACTGCACTGCATTTAAGATACTGAATATGTCAAGAATAATTATTTGTCGTCATATTTATCAAGTTTCATTACTTTTAAATATTATACATATTAAATAGATTTAAATAATCCGATATAGTAATAAAAATAATGTTCGGTTAATTAGAATCACAAAGTCAAAGTCGACACTTTCTGCGTTGGTACGGATAATGTCTAACTTTAGTATAGACCAGAATCCCTAGGTTTAATATGTACCCTTCTAGAAAGCATCGAATCTCAAACGAAAAGTGTGAAGAAATTTGTTTAGTATTGTTTCGATTAAATGCCAATTGCAATTCCAATGGCAAAGCATAACTAAAAAAGATTTTCGTTGGAAGTAATCATAATATAAAAAATTGATAATGCAATATATGATAAAAGATTTTAAAAGAAAATGGAAGAGCAATACAAAAACAGTCGAGTTCACTTTTGGATTTTTTCTTGGATCCTTCATGCTTCCTATCCCATTCCAAAGTGTATGTTTTGTCATCGATAAACGTCTTGGAGCTATTAATGGACAGGTGTTTAATGGAGCTTTCCATTTAATTTTTAGTTTCAACGGTAGTAAGAATAATGGAACGACTAATATTAAAACTACATCATTAGCTCTATAAGTTATCTGTGAAATAGTATGATTGTTTCTGAAAGCGTTCTTCAAGTTAATCTTTTTTATTCCTTGTAGTTATATCGAAGTGCTACTTTACTTTCTATAAATTATTTTCCAATTTCTATGTCAAAGAAATCATCTTTATTTTTTTATTTGAAAATAAAACACCCTATATATTTGTATAGGAAAACTCTATTTAATGTGCTCAAGCAGGTCGTGTTGTCAACATATTCGTATGAGTTGTTTTGTCAATAAATTCTGCATGCCATCCAAACTAAGAAGTACTTTCTGTCGATATCTTCAAGTTTGTTAATGTGTCACGTTTACCTACCATAATTGGAAATTGTTAACACAATTTCCTAAACATTTCAGCAAAAATATATAGGTAAGTTTTTTCTAAATATTAAGAAAGAACCATGGGTATTTACATTACTGTTATCGAGTTTTTAGATTAGTTGAAGCTTTACTTTTTCTTTGTTGATTTGTTTAATTTAATAAAAATATCTTATTAAGTATTATTAATAAAGTTTAATAGTATATAAATATGTATTATATTTTTTTTATTAATATTTATTCAATTCGAAGTGAAATACTTGTATTTGAGTTATATGAGTATACAAATGTTATCAAGGAAGTTTAAAAATATTGTATAATGATATTATCAATATTAATGAAAAAATCAGTATAAATAATAAACAATAAAATTAATAAAAATTAGATTCAAAAAAATTTGTTATAAAATATATAAATATAGATTATACAATTAAAAATATATGTATTTGGAGTTCACAAGGTAACAAATATATATAATACATATATAATATGCATTCATATATGAAAGATTTACAACTAATTGCATAAATTAATCTGTACATTATTAATAAAGTTCTTTTTTAGCCTGTTTCTTTCTCTAAGCCCTTCCCTTGAATGACACGTTTAATTGCCAGTAGATGGCGTAACAGAATATATTAGAAAGTGTCTTTTGGTAGTCTTTCTGCAATTTACTAAATCAATCAATTATAAAAGGATTTAGCAGCTGTTTTTATGCACATATCCAGGAGGGTTTAGGGTGGATGTATCTCCTAGTCGCGCACTTCTGAGCTTTTAATACGTCACTGCAGTTGTTCACACCTATACTTTTTGGTTCGTTTGGTTGTTAGTCGTCAATCGAGCGTCGTCTCTGCTTCTTAAGCGTAATCTCTGCTTTTACCTCCATCAATGAACTTGTTTACACACTCAATAAATCATCACTAAAATTAATGGATCATATTATAAACTGTTACATAAACTGTTGTAACAATCAGTCGATTCATCTGGAGAGAAAGCCAAGCAGCATATACAACGCAAAGCCGATGACAACTAAGCACAGAGGTAGGCCAAAAACAAGATGGGATGAGAACGTGTATGGAAGAAAAATTGGATTACTGAACTGGAAAAGAGTAACAGATGATCGGAACAGATGGTGACAAATCGTGAGGGAGCCCAAGGTTCTCACTGTACTGTAGTGCTAAATAAGAAGAAGAAGGTTTAGTTTTAATATTGTATATTTAAATCCATCTCAGATGTTTGTTGCGATTGCTGCCTGCTTTCTATGTGTAGATGAAATATGCACTTTTATCGATTGAATAGAATAGCTATAAAAATAAATTTTTAAATTTTATTTTAATTATGCACTACTTGGACAAAAGACAAAGCACTGCTGGATTTAAAACCTATGAATCGATTAGTTTTTAGTGGAATAAAAACCTCTTCGATCCACTAAGAGTATCTTATCATTGCAAAAAATATCATTGTATAGTGTCGTTTCTTTATAAGCCCTCTCTACACTTTGACTGAATTATTGTTTAGACTAAGCAATAATTAACCTCAGATCTGCATACCTCCCCGAGGAGCCTGTAACTATCCTGAAATTTAATAACGCGTTGTGGGTAAATCTGTCAGTTTTCGTAAAAAATTTCAGTGTTCTATCCTTCATATATTTTTTCATCGGATTAATATTGAGATCCCTGAGGATGTTATTCGTCCTAATGTTGCCTTCATCTATAATATAAGGATATAATGAATAAGTAAAGAATACAGTTTTTACATGTTCAATATTTAGAAACAAATTATTGAATTAAATTGAAAAAGTTTAAAATGTAATAAACATAAAAAGTTGTTGTCACGTATATGCAAATATTAATAACTATAAAAGTATATCATGTCTAATACACCTTGATATTTATATGTATCTACTTCTTAAATGATAAAATGATATTTAATATCATTTACGCAAAGCGTACAGTTCATTGTTCGAAGAGTTTTTATTCAGAGCTTTGATAAAGAAACAAATATTTACAATTTTAAATACACTCTCTATACACAAATATCTTTTACCATATATAAATTCCTTTAAATTCTTATACAAATGCAAATACAAAATTCTATTTATTTGTTGAATTTAATATTTAAGGAATTTAAAAATATTTTACGTCTTCTAAACTAATGCTTTTCATGCAAGCAATGTGCATGCACAACAGTGCGTATGAGTAACATTCATTCTTCATCTGCATATACAGACATTAGAAATTTAACCTTTTGGGTTTGTTTGCAAGAAGTGTGAATAACCTATAAAATATGGTAAAATGTGAGTTCAGAACTCATAAAAAAAGATATTAAAAGGTTTGAGTTACATTCTACACAACTATTGCAACCCCAAAATAAATTTAATTTGCGTGTTTTAGTGTCATTGTTGAGGACACGGTTCACACACAATAAAAAAAACTTATCTATAGAAATTATTTATATTGCTTTCCAAATGGCAAATTTATTAAGGAATATTTATTTTCTTAGTAGAAAAAACTCTAACACGCTTATATTGAAACTTGTGCTTTTGAAACTCGGGGTTAAAGTGAAATATATGATTAATAGGTGTTTGGGAAGCCATGATAATAGTTAAAGTAGTCATAAATTTGAAAGAAATTTAGTAAGATTTATTAATATTACCACATTTTAGAACAGTTTCAGTGACATTTTCACACACATAGCACATGAAATCTCATTTATATGAGTTTATAATTTTTTTTGGTTTGACAGTGCTTTCCAATTCAAATTAATATATAATTCTCGTTTAAATGTTTATTTATACTTTTATTTTCTATATTTTTTTATACATATGTTCTAATATCCCTATAATGGCAACACATATGTATATTCCCGGTTGTATTAACACTGTCTTGTTAATGGCGTCTAGAGTGTAAAATAAAGCTAAACAACAAAAAATAAAATTTTTAAAAAAGAACACAGGAGAAAGTACACCAAACATGCCTGGTACTGGTAACATTGCTCCGGTTGCTGGTGCAACGACTGCCTCCACCTCAACTAAGCCTAAGTCAACGTTGCATATGAACAAAACTATTCTGAAAACAGTTACAATTTTTTTGGCAAGTGGTAAACGTAATTCTAGTAATCAGTCAAAAAGTTTTGATACAACATCACAGTTGAAACGGCGTTCGCGGAAACAAAAAATGGACGAGTTGAGTGGTAAAATTAATCCAAAATTACTGGAAAGTCTACGTAAGAAAACGAAATTTACAAAGTAAGTGCAAATGTTGAAGTATTAATTATAGATTAAAAAACAATATGTTCGTTAAAAAAAATGAAGGAAAGAAATTGAAAACTTCTATATTTATATTTTTAAAAATTTTGAAGGTTTCGAATAGCAAAGAATGAAAAGACAAACACAAAAATTTAGTTAATTTATTGAAATTCGGCTGCCCATACAACGCGATTTCGAGTATTACCAAGTATTCATCATGCGTGGTCTTAGAAAATATTCCAATTGCTTCATTAGTTTATAGTCCGTATATAATTTATATAATTTGTTTGGACTGCATGTGCCCGCCTTACAAGTCGTGTCTGTCAAATTTTTACAATTATAAATGTGAAATGTTTATAATATATGAAACATGTGGTAGATCTCACGTAAAACATTTCAGAGATATATTGAGAAATACGAAGCATTCCTTCTTGACTAATAAAATTTTATGATCCTTTTGTATTTCTTATTTAGTCAAGAGCCTCCAAGATACCACTGTAGATTTACATGTTTGTGTTGTTTAATTTATTGTATTGATATTGTTTTATAATAATCTAATTAGACTTACCACCTATTCATACATTATATACACCATGTATCTCTAGGTTATATTGTCAAGGGAATCTATTTTCCTAAACGGATACGCCATAGTTCAGATAATACTGAGGTGACAATACTAGATAATACATTTAATACTGAGGTGAAACATAAAGCACTCATTATTAACAAATTAATGTTATCATATTTCTGATTTTAATAATTTTATTTTTTAGAGATGAAGTGGATGCATTATGTCGTATATATCGTAAACTGGTATCAAATTGTCAATATGCGGCAAAAACTTTAGCAGCTGGTTCATCTACAGCTTCTATAGCGAAACCACATTCGACAATAGAGGTAAGTCTCTATGCACAAACTCTCATTAATTGCATTTATTAATTGCAAGTCTCATTAGCGTAAAAGGTTAAAATTAGCTTTTTGAGTAACCATAAGAAGTACTTATATTTAGAAGCTATTAGTTTGAAAAAGGGACGTATGCTTGTTCATATATGATTAAATGTTTAGATATAAAAATAATTGTATTTAACTGGCTTGAAAACTCTTATGAAATAGTCCAAAGTATCAACGCCTTGCATTTTGCACATGATTAAAAGTAATTTTAAAAGCAATGCCACTAATTATACGGCGTTATAGTATAATTTCTTTGTTGAAAAAAATTTTATATATATATATATATATTTATTTTAAAAAAATATATATATAATTATTTAATTCATGAATACACTAGACAACAGCAAAAATTATTGTGCAATACTGGGAATCCGAAGACAAGTCAGTAAGTTGGTAGGGTTCCCATATACAATATTTTTCAGATTTAAGTCTATGTAACTATTTTCTATTTCCAAACTTTAGGCTTTTGCTAAGAGAAATTTATTTCTATGGAACAACTAATTGACAACACATAGGTTAATTTCAAGAGGTTAAACAAATCGTATTAAGAAGAGTATAAACCAGAGTATTTGACAATGAATTGAACCTGAGCTATTCTTTACTTTGCCGGGAAGGCATATAAAGAACAAACTTATATTGTATCATATTACATATCAAAATTGTATTATTGAGTTTATCAGGGTCAATGCATGTTGGAGCACCATTTCAAAAAAATAGACCTCTTAGACCTCTTGGTACACAAATATACTTACTTACCTATATTTCTTAAACGTGTTTATGGTTAGTTGTACAAAAGTAAGTGGAAAAGTAAGTGGAATATTTAAATTTCCACCTACTCCAAAGTTAATCTATATATTAATCTATATAAAGATTATACTTTTTTTGTATTATTATTATGTTGAAGCTCTTTGAGGTAGTGCACTTGAGGACTTTTACTCTTTTTTAACTCGACGTATTTTCAAAACCTCTCTTTACTCCTTGACTGGATTAATATTTATCACTTCATCAGACTAAGCAATAATTGACCTCAAATCTGCATATCTCCCCGAGGAGACTGTAACCATTCTGAGATTTGATAACGCGGTGTTGGTAAGTCTGTCAGTTTTCACAAATAATTTCAGAGCTCTATCCTTTATGTTTTTTTTGATCGAATCAAAAAATAAAATAAAAATAAAATAAAAAAAAATAAAAAAAATAATGCATGAGCAATTAAATCAATATATGTTTCAATAGATGTTTCTATAGAACGCTAGTAATGGATATTTGACGGTATCCAAAATAGCTAGGTTATGAATAGCCTAGGTTAAGTAGATACTGGACGAATAATACCGAAAATTATGTGTTCTATTGAGCTTTGCTCTCTAGATCTATGAAATTCTGCTATGTAAAAAGATAATCGACATGAAAAACAGGTTCACTTCGAGAACGGTATGATGTGGCACTACACACAATGGCATAGGCTCAGGTATACTGATACTATATTACGCGTATATACTATATTACCCCGTTCATAAAGAACTGGAACCCATTCACTTCATTAAAAATTAAACAAATTTTTGGATATGTACATTTGGTTAGTGTAACACCCTTTTTCATTTGAAATAGAATTCTAATCATAGCATAAAAGTAATTTTTAATTAAAAATCGATTATTTATATAATTATTATTTTATTATTTGATATTTTGTACACAAATTAATTAACAAACACTACTTTGAACTTAAATAAACTTTACACTTATTGGATTTTATAAGTAGATTTTAGTTTAGATTTTTGAAGGTATGATTTAAGATAGAAATTTAGAAAGAGCAAGAGAACAAATACACTTTGGAAACAACCCCACATTTTTGCCCATAATTGATAATCACATTCAATGAAGAGTGTAATCCCATAAGATATTATATATATAACAAATTGTATAATTTGAATTTGTGTTATATACCGTTTTAATCCATCAACATTAAAATATTTTAATCGGAGCGCAGACATAAGATAATAAAAATACATAACAACATGAACTATACTGTTAAGTATCAAAATCACTAGAATATGTCCTCCTGGACTATAACGGGCATATAAAAATGAACCCAATGCTACCATGATATGATGATACACATGTAAAAAAGTTATTTGTTTTGTGCTTTTACGTAGTACAAAGAAAACTGTATCCATTAAGTCCAACATTTTCAACAGTAAGTAACTATACACGATACGAAGTTCAACGGAAGCTGCTTCAGTATTGTCTTTCTGTATAGTCATACAAAGTAGGCTATCATATGGACGAAGAACGATCAAGCGATAGAGACCCTATATATAATATGAATTTAATGTAAAAATAATTATTGCAGTTATATGTAGATATATATATTCTTACCCAAAATGCTAAGATCCCATTTAATACCACTTGTGCAAAATTATACATTAATATCATGCTTTTAATATTCATCGGATTACGTTTTGACATTATTTTTGGTCCCAGATATAAAACAAAAATTGTATAGATTGAAAGTATTATGAAAACGAAATATGGAGTGTATTTAAATATAGATTCAGTGCGAGGATCTAGAAATGAAAAAATTGAATATTAATATGTTAACTAGTAATTAAGTTTAAAGGATTGTTATTATTATTAGTGAGCCTTGTGCGGCGTCATATGATTCTGCACTGCCTTCATACTGGACATAAGCTATTTACAAGTAATTTCCATTGCTTTCATTGCAGCGCAACTTCTCGTATCTGATGCTGTTATATGCTATGATGCTATTTCTGTTGGACCCTGCGTTCGATTGGTGTGGACCTTCTCTAAATCATTTTCGGACGACCTCTTCGTAGCCTTGTGGTTTATATCGGAGTGCCATATTTGCGATGTCAACTATCGATTTGCGTAGTGTTTGTTCTATTCAGCCAAATTCAGCCTTTAAATGTTAGAAATGAGGTTTGGCCAAAAACTTCTGATGATTTTTGCTGCACTTGTTCAGTGACGAACTACGTTTCACATCCATACAAAAGCACTGACAAAACGCAGGACTTAAATATCGTGATTTTGGTTTCAACACTGTAAAAATTTGAAGACCATATCTTATTCAGTTTAGCAAGTGCGCCGATCTATTTCTTTATTGCCGCTACATTCGTTAAAGTAGCTCCTGTGAAGCTACTTTGATCACTCTGTACTGAAAATGATGTTTAACAGAATATGTTATTGCAAGTGTTTTAATCGGATGCAATTTTTATTCATTCCCAAAATTCAATTCTTATATTTAATTGTTAAGATTTGGTATGAACATTTATAGTAGCTCAGTCCTGTTCTTTTTTTTATTAATATAATTATTTGTTTAACATATCTTGACATCCTTTGTGCTTTTTTAGTTGTCGTAAAAGTATATTTTTGCACTGAATTATAACTTAAAAGTTCTAATTTAAGTATTATCTAATCTTAATCCTCATAGACTCATAAGTAATTGTTATAAAATTATATCCAATAAAGCAATTATCATATGTAGATAATTTTACTATTGTTTAAATTATATTTAATTAAAGCAGTAAAACGATTAAAAGTAGTTTCCTTCCGCTGTAATTTATACCTCTATACGTGTCATCAATTTTTTTAAATTTCTCAAACACTTCACTGATCATTGAAATCATTATTTGTTTTATATAGAATACTTCGAATCTCAAATTAATCGATAAAACTATGTCTTTAACGTATGTAACCGTACTAATCAGTTTGATGTTTATTGTAAAACTAAACTTAAAACAGATCTCATATAATAATTTTGTGGAAATATGTTTTTAGAAAATTATTGTACTAGAAAAAATAAATAGTTAAGTTATGAAATCTGTACAAAGTGCATGCAGTCTATAAAATATGTAATCAATAAAAACGACATTAATTAAGAATATAAAATAAAGAGTTTTTTAAATCAATTTGGTACAATAAAACTATTCTTTTATAAACGTCATTATTATAAGTATAGTCTCTCAGAATCTACAAGTTTTCTACCATAATTCCGTATTGACAGCATTTTTCATCTTTAGAAGTAATCCAGTCAAGTATACTTTAGTTTTTTAAATTACTGAAATGTTACTGACTATAAGTTGTAACATAATGAAGGCGAGACTAGCGAGACAAGTCTTTTAAATAAGTTTTGATATCCTCAACAATATGTGGTGCACTATTGTCACTTCATAATCTAAGAAACGGCTACCACAAACGCTTCCTTTTTTACCGGAATAATGAAAACCAAAGAGTTGGATTCGTTAGATGGTAAAATTCCATTGTAAAATGAAATTGGAACAAAATCATGCAATTCATTGAAAATGTGTTAAGGGAAAAGAAGAAAGATCTGGACACAAAAAATTTAAAACTAATAACAATCTGATGACTTTCCAATTCGGATCAGGAGTGGGAGCCTGTACACAAGTTTTTCGAGAAGCACATGCATGGATGGCCAACTTATAAGGGATCCTCCCTGAAGTAATACGAATTTGGTTTTGGGGCGAGAAATCACACAGAAGAAGAGGGGGTGTTTTAGTCCATATGCTACAAAGTAGGAGTCGGACACACCATTCCAGCGAACTCCTCACAACAAAACAAAAAATAAGAAATTGATTGTAAAATGAATATAATGATGTAATATGCTGTGAGCTCTTGATTAAAGTCATTATTATTACCGATAATCCTTATTACTTATATAAATAAGTGTATCTACCTTATTTGGTCCCCTGCGGTATCTTGCTTTTTCACATCTGAAATTGGGTATAAAAGAAAATTTTTCATAAACACTGAGAAATAATCCGTTATTAACCTTGACATAAAAATAAATTCAAAACTCTGAAGCATGCGCATAGTATACTCCTACAGGTCAAATAATAGTTATGGATTATATATGTAGAAGTAGTAGAATAGCAGAAGCAGAAGAGTGATAAAAATGCCTGTTACTGAAAGTCAATACTAAAATCTTCCTCACAGATGGCTTCAAGTTAAAAGATGTAGTTTACTGCGAGCATTTAAACATAAGACAGTTATACCTGCTGCCGGACTAGTGCAGCTTTTTCGATGTTGAAATATGCTCTGTCCAAAAAAAAAGTGGAGCCTTGTGCTAGAAAAGTCGAGAGAAAAACAGGTTAAACGCTTTGATACATATAATATAGTGCGATAACTAGCAAGATATATCCAAACAGAAAACCGTCATAATTCTTAAATTGAAAAGAGACTCAAAAATTTTCTAGTAATCAGATAGTTACTTAGTAATATACTAGGGCTAGGTAACTCTATTTAAAACTAATAAACTTACCAATAGAGTGCAAACGTAGCTCCTAATGGACAATACGTATAAATTTGATTTATGTGAGAACCAGATATACTGACAATATTTCCCCATAATTATAGTATTAGAAAATAATTATTCATTCAATAACACTTTATTGTTCCGATTTCATTGACATAAGATCTTGGATTTGTGAAGTGATATCTATTAAATAAATAAAAAATAAGGTTTACTATAGAGTGAAAGGAAATGCGCATTTTGCACATGATTAAAAGTAATTTTAAAAGCAATGCCACTAATTATACGGCGTTGTAGTGTACTTTCTTTGTTGAAAAAAATTGTGTATATATATATATATTTATTTATTTATTTTAAAAAAATATATATATAATTATTTAATTCATGAATAAACTAGACAACAGCAAAAATTATTGTGCAATACTGGGAATACGAAGACAAATCAGTAAGTTGGTAGGGTTCCCATATACAATATTTTTCAGATTTAAGTCTATGTAACTATTTTCTATTTCCAAACTTTAGGCTTTTGCTAAGAGAAATTTATTTCTATGGAACAACTAATTGACAACACATAGGTTAATTTCAAGAGGTTAAACAAATCGTATTAAGAAGAGCATAAACCATAGTATTTGACAATGAATTGGACCTGAGCTATTCTGTACTTTGCCAGGAAGGCATATAAAGAACAAACTTATATTGTATCATATTACATATCAAAATTGTATTATTGAGTTTATCAGGGTCAATGCCTGTTGGAGCACCATTTCAAAAAAATAGACCACTTAGAGACCAGTATTTGTCGCTTTCTTATTATGCTTGTGGTACACAAATATACTTACTTACCTATACTTCTTAAACGAGATTATGGTTAATGGAACAAAATTTTTGAAAAGTAAGTGGAATATTTAAATTTCCACCTACTCCAAAGTTAATCTATATATTAATCTATATAAAGATTATATTTTTTTTGTGTTATTATTATGTTGAAGCTCTTTGAGGTAGTGCACTTGAGGACTTTTACTCTTTCTTAACTCGACGTATTTTTAAAACCTCTCTTTACGCCTTGACTGGATTAATGTTTAACACTTCATCAGACTAAGCAATAATTGACCTCAAATCTGCATACCTCCCTGAGGAGCCTGTAACCATTATGAGATTTGATAACGCGGTGTTGGTAAGTCTGTCAGTTTTCACAAATTATTTCAGAGCTATATCCTTTATGTATTTTTTGATCGAATCAAAAAATAAAATAGAAATAATCTGTTTCAATAGATGTTTCTATAAAACGCCAGTATTGGATATTTGACGATATCCGAAATACCAAAGGATAATACCAAAGATTATGTGTTCTATTGAGCTTTGCTCTCTAGATCTATGAAATTCTGCTATGTAAAAAGATAATCGACATGAAAAACAGGTTCACTTCGAGAACGGTATGATGTGGCACTACGCACAATGGCATAGGCTTAGGTATACTGATACTATATTACGCGTGACCACACCCCGTTCATAAAGAACTGGAACCCATTCACTTCATTAAAAATTAAACAAATTTTTGGATATGTACATTTGGTTAGTGTAACACCCTTTTTCATTTGAAATAGAATTCTAATCATAGCGTAAAAGTAATTTTTAATTAAAAATCGATTATTTATATAATTATTATTTTATTATTTGATATTTTGTACACAAATTATTTAACAAAAACTACATCGAACTTAAATCAACTTTACACTTATTGAGTTTTATAAGTAGATTTTTGTTTAGATTTTTGAAGGTATGATTTAAGATAGAAATTTAGAAAGAGCAAGAGAACAAATACACTTTGGAAACAACCCCAAATTTTTGCCCATAATTGATAATCACATTCAATGAAGAGTGTAATCCCGAAAGATATTACAAATATTACAAATTGTAATAGTTGAAGTTGTGTTATATACTTTTTCAATCCTGCAACATTAAAATATTTTAATCGGAGCGCAGACATAAGATAATAAAAATACATAACAACATGAACTATACTGTTGAGTATCGAAATCATTAGAACATGTCCTCCTGGACTATAACGGGCATATAAAAATGAACCCAATGCTACCATGATATGATGATACACATGTAAAAAAGTTATTTGTTTTGTGCTTTTACGTAGTACAAAAAAAACTGTATCCATTAAGTCCAACATTTTCAACAGTAAGTAACTATAGACGATACGAAGTTCAACGGAAGCTGCTTCAGTATTGTCTTTCTGCACAGTCATACAAAGTAGGCTATCATATGGACGAAGAATGATCAAGCGGTAAAGACTCTATAAATTATAAATGTAATTTAATAATTATAATTTAAAAAGTCAGACATGTGATCTTACCCAAACTGCTAAGATTCCATTAAGTGCTACTTGTGCAAAGTTATATAGTAATAGGATTCCTTTTATATTCCTTGGACTGCGATTTGCCATTATTTTTGGTCCCAGATATAAAACATAAATAGTATAGATTGAAAGTATAGAAAAAATAAATTGTGGACTGCCTATAAATACAGATTCAGTGCGAGGATCTATAAAAAATAATATTAAATATTAATACAAAAATTAGTATATATTAAAATATTTAAATTTCAATAATATTGAACAATGTTGTAACTATAAAATAATATATAGTATTTAATTAAATTAAAATTAATTATAATAAATTGACAATTAAGAAAAAGCGTAGAAATAGGTTTATAAAAATTTCAAACAATTTATTGAAAGTTTTTATAAATAAAATCTCTACGTTAAAAAATTATTTTATCAATTTAAAAATAATGAATATAATGATACGCAAATGAACCTTTAAGTAACTTATAGTATAGAGAAGTACTATAAATACTAGTATTAATAAAATTTTCTACATTTTCACTCGAATACATTATTTGCCTTTTGTGATGTGCTGAAGTAAACTTCTATAAACATTATTTTTATCATAACTCTATGATATATGTCTATGTCTATAACTTTATATTATAAAATGATACGGAAATGAACCTTTAAGTAACTTAAGTCAACGACCATTGAACTTCCTTATTTTTTAAATTCTATAAGTTAAATATAGCATATAAGCATAGCAGTGTGTTAGTTGATATTTG